TAATGGGTAATCCCATATTAAGTTAACTTGCCAAGACGTTTTCCGTGGCTACCTGGCCACTTATTACTCCTGCATTTAAGCCTACTCAATCAGTGACAGGTTACAGCTACTAGCTAACTTTACCTCGGCACACAGACTGTAGCCTACTATCAACACTGCTCAAATTTCAGAGTAAGGACTTCCAGATTTTATTCGGTTACAGTAGGCTATCACCAAAAGAATCCTGAACAAATGCAAATATGTGTAATTAAGCATAAAATTTCTTACTATTCACCACATTACGCTTCAGTAAGTTTCAGCTGTGGCCCTGTGGTCACTCGTCTGGCCTTGAACATGCCTGCACATGCAGGACAGGGAAACTGTGGGCCGTTTACACGTCATCAAATTGTATTTTACATTAACAGAACTTAAAATTAAATTATTTTTTGATTAACTGAAAATGTTAAACTCTGACAAGTCATGATAGTATATTCAATCAATAGGCATAATTTGTGTGTCAGCCAAACTCAATAAAATAACAATTACAAGTAAAAAGTCTAACAGTATCTCAGAACTTGATTTTTCATTTCACAACAATATACACTGCTCAAAAAAATAAAGGGAACACTTAAACAACACAATGTAACTCCAAGTCAATCACACTCCTGTGAAATCAAACTGTCCACTTAGGAAGCAACACTGATTAAAAATCAATTTCACATGCTGTTGTGCAAATGGAATAGACAACAGGTGGAAATTATAGGGAATTAGCAAGACACCCCCAATAAAGGAGTGGTTCTGCAGGTGGTGACCACAGACCACTTCTCAGTTCCTATGTTTCCTGGCTGATGTTTTGGTCACTTTTGAATGCTGGCGGTGCTTTCACTCTAGTGGTAGCATGAGACGGAGTCTCACAAGTGGCTCAGGTAGTGCAGCTCATCCAGGATGGCACATCAATGCGAGCTGTGGCAAGAAGGTTTGCTGTGTCTGTCAGCGTAGTGTCCAGAGCATGGAGGCACTACCAGGAGACAGGCCAGTACATCAGGAGACGTGGAGGAGGCCGTAGGAGGGCAACAACCCAGCAGCAGGACCGCTACCTCCGCCTTTGTGCAAGGAGGAGCACTGCCAGAGCCCTGCAAAATGACCTCCAGCAGGCCACAAATGTGCATGTGTCTGTTGAAACGGTCAGAAACAGACTCTATGAGGGTGGTATGAGGGCCCGACGTCCACAGGTGGGGGTTGTGCTTACCGTGCAGGACATTTGGCATTTGCCAGAGAACACCAAGATTGTCAAATTCACCACTGGCGCCCTGTACTCATCACAGATGAAAGCAGGTTCACACTGAGCACATGTGACAGACGTGACAGAGTCTGGAGACGCCGTGGAAAACGTTCTGCTGCCTGCAACATCCTCCAGCATGACCGGTTTGGCAGTGGGTCAGTAATGGTGTGGGGTGGCATTTCTTTGGGGGGCCGCACAGCCCTCCATGTGCTCGCCAGAGGTAGCCTGACTGCCATTAGGTACCGAGATGAGATCCTTAGACCCCTTATGAGACCATATGCTGGTGCGGTTGGCCCTGGGTTCCTCCTAATGCAAGACAATGCTAGACCTCATGTGGCTGGAGTGTGTCAGCAGTTCCTGCAAGAGGAAGGTATTGATGCTATGGACTGGCCCGCCCGTTACCCAGACCTGAATCCAATTGAGCACATCTGGCACATCATGTCTCGCTCCATCCACCAACGCCACGTTGCACCACAGACTGTCCAGGAGTTGCTGGATGCTTTAGTCCAGGTCTGGGAGGAGATACTGAGCCTAATTTTGACTTGTTTGAAGGACATTACATCAAAGTTGGATTGGCCTGTTTTCCACTTTGATTTTGAGTGTGACTCCAAATCCAGACCTCCATGGGTTGATAAATTTGATTTCCATTGATAATTTTTGTGGGAATTTTTGTCAGCACATTCAACTATGTAAAGGAGTATTTAATGAGATTATTTCATTCATTCAGATCTAGGATGTGTTATTTTAGTGTTCCCTTTATTTTTTTAGCAGTGTATATATTTAAGTAATGACTAAAGGTTCCCTGAATTAGTTTTTAAACCTGAATTGTTGTGTGGAAAATAAGCTCATAAGCTAAGAAGAAAAGAAAGAAGGGATGCAGACAGAGAGAAGGGAAAGAAAATAATATAACATTTTGAGTATGATTCCTTATAAATGGTGCATTATAATAAGCATTTACAATCATGGCCGGCAGCCATACCAATGTAAACCCTACTACTTCGACCGATTGACAGAAGCTAAGCAGGTTTGGGCTTGGCCAGTACCTAGATGGGAGACCTCCTTGGAAAACTAAGTTGCTGCTGGAAGAGGTGTTGGTGGGCCAGTAGGTGGCAGTCCCTCTGGTCCTAATAATAAGTTCCCAGTGCAGTGATGAGGACGCTGTGCTGTGGGAGAGGCTGTCCTTCCGATGAGACGTTACACAGTGGTCATTAAAGATCCCATGGCACTAGTCGCAAAGAGTAGGGGGTTCCCTGGTGTCATGGCAAAATTCCCAACCTGGCTTTCACCATCTGGCCATCTAATCATCCCCCGTAGTAATTGGCTCGATGTTTTCCTCTCTCTCTGCCTCAAGCTGATGTGTGGTGAGCGTTCTGGCGCTAAATGGCTTCCGTGCATCACCCACGTGGGTGCTACACATTGGTGGTGGTTGAGGTGATTCCCCCCCCTCTACTTCACTGTGAAGCGCTTTGACCGCTATCTAACAATCGGAGCCGGAGCACTCAGGTGGTGTTTCACATACATTGATTTGTTTGTGGCTCTCTCTCATGAAAACAACTGTCAATGTCGGAGACCCACCTTAAAAACAAATCACAGGTGGGTTGTCGAGGTAAGCACGCTGCACATAGCAGGAAGTCAATATCGACTGTCATTCTGTGGGAAACACTGCACTCTTCTGGAAAAAAACTCTCTCTCTCACGGCACAGTGGAGTTTGTGTCAAGGATTCCGTGCTAGATGCGTACCGTGCTGGAGTCCAGCTTAACCGTGCCAGGCTCACCTCTTCAAGTGTGCCCGGGCACGGTTAAGTGTACTATGCCCGGGCACTCACATAAAAACACCTTCTACATCTTGACCTGGTTGCTGCACCCCAAAACCCCCTCTCTCTCTAGGTTTGCTGATTTATTTATTTACTTATTTATTTGCTCAATGTCCCGCCCACAGCACTCTGATTGGTTACACATCGCAAATAATAGCTTATCAACACTTTGCTCTGGTGAGCAGCGGAGCTGTGTGTTGAAGAGAAGGCAGCCGATAATACTGAAGGTGCAATAAACATCAAAATATGATGATCTGTTTCTATGATGACAAGCAGTGCAGTGTTCCTGTTACACCAGTGAACATGTCCGAAGTCACAGCTACGGGACATTTTCATGACAAAAAAATACAAAACACCCCCCCTCCTCTGTTTTTTTACAAATCCCACCCTGTGTAGAGCCTAATAAACAGATAACATGGGGGAAAAAAGGATCCACATGAGGATTTGTAAGTACAGAGCGGGTTGCTCAGCCTGAGAGTGGGGGATGGGAGAGAGGCAGAGGGAGCGACAGGGAGAGACATAGAAAAGGCCTGATCAATCCAAACTCCATTCAGAAAACAAACATTTCAGAAGTTGTTGTCCTGCTGTCTTGCTGACAGACCTGGCAAAGCAAATTCATATGTTTAACAAATCTGCATCATGTTGTAGTTATTTCAGCATCAGTTTAATCCATTTATTGCTATTTAATCACAGCAAAATGTTTATTTTGGGTTCATACAGCTGTAATAATAGCGAGATGTGTTTATTCACGTTATTGTATTATTGTTATTGTTATTATTGTGAACACTTGCAGCGAATGTCCTCATGCGAGTAAATCGTCGCAAGGAGAAAATTCACGGTTGGTCTGAATGCCGCATTAGCCTCCTTGTCAGAGCGTTTGCCTCCTATATCTGAGGTCGCCAGTTCGAGTCAGGTCCGTGCAGTAACGTTACAACTCGGGGCTGGTTACATTAGCTTAAAGACTGGGGCTAGCAGCAGCTAGCCTGGCCGAACTACCAGAACCTCTGATGCTTGTTTAATCACAAATGTGATTGTAAATGACAAGATGTGAGCTTAAAGGTTTAAATGCAAGACTTTTTCTTAGCCCGGAGGAAGGACTTCCTTGAGTATGCTGGTTGCTTGGAAACCTGTTTCCAGTCTTTATGCTAAGCTAAGCTCCTGGCTGTAACTTCATATTTAGTGTTCAGACACAAGAGTGATATTGATGCATCTGTCTGTAAAACAAAAAGTGATAATCATGTTTCCCTCAATGTCAAACAATACATTAAAGTGAAGAAGGGCACACTGCAATGTGTTCTGTATTCTGCAGTTCTGCATTTCAACAAAGGACTTAACCTACCTCTACCTCCCAAACTAATTCCAGTCATAGTTAATGGTGGAAGGCAGAGTAATTGGCTATATTACAGTCTCTTCCTCAGAGAATCCTTCCTTGATTAGGGAAATTATTGCACCCCAGTGCGTGATACAGATACACATATATACATACACCTAATGGAAGACTGAGCAATATTACAACCGCCCCCTGGAGAAGATTTCAGCATCTTAAAACACAGTACAAGCTTTATCTAACGTCTTCCTAGGTTTTTCCATCTATTTTTTCAACACTACGCATTTTTCGGCTTCACAAAGAAGAATTTCTTCCCCCACCTGAGATGTTGTTTCTCCCTCTAAACATGAACCTTGAGGTGAAGTCTGAAGATCTGTCTCTCTTTCATCCCTCATTGGCTGAGAGATGCCTACAAGTGGAGCCACCGCAAAGAATGATTGACTGTTTGTCTCTAACCCCACATCAATGCTGAGACTTTGGGGCGAGAGTCACACTCATCTGTCACTTTCAGATCTACTCTTACTCTCTCTTACTGCTGTTCACGATTTCACAACCATGATGTGTGGAACTGCAAAAACGGCAAGACTGGGAGGTCAGTGAACTTGGGCAGTCACTATAGGAGGTTAAACACTGTGGATTTGTGTGTGGGTGTGTGTGTTAACAAAAGCTCTGTGTTTTGTTTTACGTTGTTTCGAGCGACATGAGCACTGACATTGGACACTGACACTGGAATTTGTTCCAGCTGGACATTTCAGCTGTAGCTGTGGAAATCAGCTGAGGCATTGTTGGAAATAGAACATCCAGCGTTGTACAGGTGGTCGTGCTGTTTTGGAATTACATCTGAAAGCAAACTGTGAGTGCATTTTAAGTGAAGCATATTGTTTTGTTCAAAGACGTGTTTGTCAAACTTGTGTTTAAATTTGATTTGTTTTCACAAGAACTGGGTCACACCTGGAAGTCATCAACCTCAAAACATATTCTGACATGTTGTATTTGACATTGAGCCTCTTCTTTCAACGGATAGTATCTGATTGTGTTAATGTTCCTCAGTCTACAGGCGTGATACGAGGTCTGTAATCTGACACCACAATGAAGATAAACAATATTAAGTGCTTTGATTTATTTAGACATTTCATGCAGATTAAAGGAGGGACTCATTATTGAAACAGCAACACACGACATGGTCTCAAGCAGTTTCACTAATATCATGATCATTAGCAGAAGGAGCACTTAAGTAAATGTAGTGACACAAAAATACAAAAATACTCAATAATAATCAAAATTCTGTGTTCTGTGTTGCTTGAGTAAAAGTACAAAATCATTGAGAGCAAAATGCACTTAAAACAATCAAAAGTATAAGTACTTACTATGAAGCAGGATGGCCCCTCTGTTATGTTAGTAAAGCATTAACATGTGCGCAGCATTGTGGCTGGTTGCACAGGAGATCATTTAAATTATTCTGTATACTGCTGAGTGGTTAAATCTATAACCATATTTAAAATATTATAAACTGGTAATTGGTTTTGTATGTTAAATCGTAACTCGTTAACTAACTCAAACTGAAAAAAGTGAAATATGAACTTGTTGGAGTACATGTAAAGTACATTACTACATTATGATGCATGATATATTCTCATACAGTAGGTGTATTTGAACTCTGAAAGTGTTTTGCTTCCATGCAGTTCACTGGCTTACACAAGAAGGTGCTGTATTCAAAAGGCCAAATCACTTATATATTTAATCAAATTTAAAATACTAATGCAGCGAATAAATTGATGTAAAACTTTAGGTAATTTATAATCCCTTGTTATCTTGCAATATATCTTATAATGCAGACTCACTATTATCTGGATGCCACTGTTACCATGTCACCTATCATACTTAATGTATCATTATAATATGTTACTTCTGCTAACCTCTTATTTACACCTGTATTACTGATCATTATGTTATTGGTCTCGGTGTTTGTTTTGCAGGGTCATGTGAGTACTGAGTCCCGGCGACATTAGTGTTTAACTCACAAAGGTCATCTGTGTTGAGAACTGTGTTCTGAGGTGTTTAGTGTATCTGCTCCCTGGTTCACCCCTCCTGCTGATCTAATCGTCACTGTAATGGCAGTGTTGACTTTGCTGCTGGCTTTGCTGGTCCTTCTTATTTTCACTTGTCGTTTTGTCTCTTGATCTCTTTCTCTTAGTTAATGTGTCTGCCCTCTATCCCTCCATCTTCTTCAAGGATTGATTCAACATTTAACATTAGTATGACCTCAAAAATGCACTCAAGTAAACCGTCACTGCTCTTCAAGTTGTAGAGCAGTAAGACCTCCGGTTTTCTTGTTAAGGCAACCCTCTCTGGCCACTGTGGACATAGTCTGTATGTGTTAGATGTAATAGCATTATTATTGTTGAATTTGGCTGAATTTTGTAGAGCTACTTGTTCAATAATTCACATATGAGCCTGGTGAATAACATAACTGCTGGTAGATGCAAAGTTTGCTTACATACAATTATTGTGCATGTAGATCAATAGAACAAGAGGTTCGATAAAGTCATGATTGTTTTGTGATATAATTCTCTTGCAGCCACCCCAGCATTAAATTTCACTCCTTACACAGGAATGTGCATGACGATTAAATGTCTGTTATTGAGTAACTCTAGGCTGTTGTCATGACAAACGTTCAAACAGTAATTGAATGCAATGTTTTTAACCACAGAACCCTCGCGTGAATCATGTTGTGTGGTGGAGCAGATATCGGTGTATACATGTGCATAAGTAACATGGTTAGAGTTGTAGCATAAAAACAAATCAATATTTTATGTCCCCCAAGGTTTAATAAAACCTGAGAGAAGAAATGTAATGCCTTGAAAAGCAGTTCTACAAGCACAAAGGGTCTAAAAGAATAAATGATACGTGTATAAATAAGATTGACGTAACTTGACTTTTCACAGTCAGCGGAGCCCTCTAACTGGCATTTACCCACTGACCCCAGCGGAGCCAGTCAGGACGGACCCACCAAAAATCACAAAATTGCTGTCACTCCCTTACCTGGTGTCCACGCATAGTGAGTCAAGGAGCAGTAGAGCAACAGGGTCACACCTGTGCTGGTGGAGGTAAGGTGAAAATGCGCAACCTTAACTTCATTTCATGCAGGTTTACCCTCTAATGAGCTCTGTGGGCTTCAGAGGGTAAAGTGAGACGCTTGCACTCACTGCCTCGACAACAGCGCAACACAATGTTATACCTTGGGTTATGCAAAACGGCTGGCTGGCACTCTATCATCCTTCTGCAGTATGCAACTTCATTTCAAACACCTTTGGGCCTATGCACTTTGTTCAGTGCATCTGTGCAGCAGATTTGTGTAGTTATAACACAAGTTGACACCCATTCTATTCACCTGTTTGCTTTGTGTGTCGTTCTCAAGGTCCATTGGGACAACTGATCTGTGGGTGCTCACATGTTATGAGCTCTTGTTGGCCCGCTCCCTGCTCTTCAGCATTACAGAAGGTACAGAAGTGGCTGTTTGTCCCTGACTGGTTTGTCAAGTCCAAATGAAATAATCTTGACCTTAATTTTGACCTGATGTTGTACCACCTGGATGACTCTGTGACAGGTTGTGTTCTATTGGTTCATTACCACTTTGTTGGGAATAAGGATTTAAATGGCATCAATAGTTATATTAAATAATATTATATTGGTAGCTTTAAAGCTTCTCCCTGCCATGTCTGGCTGTGTTTAAGGCCAAATTGAAGTATATGTATATGGTCTTTGTTACTGACAATAATTTAGCATTGGCTGAGAACTACTGTTACACAATAACTTCACATCAAATGATCACAACTATAACCTCTGTGCAAAACACATCAGTACATGTACATTGATCAAAAGCTAAACAGTCCTCTTCTTAGTCCTGTTCTAAGTAACATAGCATAGCAAATTGAATTGAATTGTTAAGCGTGAAGCTCTATAACGCACAGATATGTTACCAGTCTGTATAGGAAGAGAAGTACTTTTCTGTGTTAATTGTTAGCTGGCATGTCCATTGTGGACTGGCCAGGTGGGGAAGAATTGTGGTGGAGGACCTGGTCTGTCTGTTCTCCTCAGAGTTAAGCCGTCCTTACTTTTGTTATGTTAGACTTTATGTCATAGCCGCTGGCTAACTGAGCTGGTTTGCAGGGAACTTGCGTCGCTGCCTTAGAGCATGTCTGCTCCAAGCAGACCGCACTGGGACACAGCTTCGGAGGCCGGCGGCTTTAGTGGTAAAGTCCAAAGAAAAAGATAGACAGACAAAGTTCTGCTGCGTTTTTGTTGATGAGCTGACATCATGGGTCACTGGTCTGACTGACCAATCGTAGCTGCAAGCTGGGTGCATGGGCTGAATTTACCCTGTCAATTTACCCTGTGATCTTAACTAAGCGATTTGTGATTGCATCATACAGCGATTAAGCTGCTTTTTACTATACCATGGTCTTCAGTGACTGAGGCCTGTGTCACAGGCTTAGGTTATAGGATTGATCTTTCCAACTGAGCTTTACACAAAGCACTTCACCTATGCTCACAGACCTAAGGCTACAATATCTAACCCCTCTTGTTTTTAGTAGCAGCCCTTAGCACTCAGCAGTAGTTAACTCAATTAAGTAGCTTCATTATAATCAGTGAGAGCTGAAACGTCAGCCTCATGAAGCTGATGGAGGGCTTGGCTGCAGCTATAACCTGCTGTTTACATGCAAAAATAACTCACTGGCCCTAATGGTTGGGCATGGAGTTGGAAAAAGGCACAGTTAGACATTGATTGAGGGGCTACAATTTACATGCTGCAGAGCTGTGGAACAAGGTCTCTCTGAGTCTTACAGCCTCTTCACATGGGGCCCCAGTATTTGTCTGCTAGGCTGCAACACAGACACAGGCATTAGTAAATGGGGAGCATCAAATTTGTTGGACGGGGAAGATAGACCCATAGGTACCCATAGAAACAGATAGAAGAACAGACAGCAGTCATGCACAAATATGCACTCAAACACACACCGAGTGAAGTAAATGCAATAACAGAGAACCACAGGGGAGCATATAAAACAATACGGTTGTTACACTTTCATTATCAGCAAAATCAACAATGCTTAGCCGTTACAAATGGAGGAAAATTACTATAGTAATATGAATTCGCTGATTGCAGTCTCATTCTAAAACATATTAAATTTCTGATTGAATTACTCTGCTTTGTTTTCACATAAAATAGCCTAACCTAATTAACAGTGTTGAAGCCGAGTTCTGTGGGTTTGTCTTTGAAGCCTTGCCCTCTGCATACAGTTAGAAAGTTCCTTCTCACCGCTCTGTGCCTTGGTAGCACACTCACTCTGATCACAATTCAGCTGTTGGCCAAAAACAAAGAAAACAGAAAACTCATTACTGCTCTTCTGGCCTTCCAGTTGGATTTTTCTTCAAGGGAGAGTCTGCTAAACATTCTAGAAATAAATACAGTAGGTGTGTATCTGTGTTTTTGTGTGTGCATGTATGAATCAGTGATGCTTAGTCCTGTCTCATAGGGCAATAAGACCTCATAAATCTGACTTTTTTGTTTGCCTTGCCTTAATTGTACTAGCGTACATTTGTCTCTGTTTTGGTCCTGGATCCATTGAATTCTACAAACATTTTCACATCTGGAGACTGAGGCTGCATGCAAAAATCATAGCTTTAGATCCTAAAATCCATATTTGGGCAAGGCTAACACAGTCCTAGCATCCTGATTAATCTGTCTCTGTCACATCTCTCAGATGTATTTCTCTTCATCAGATCTGGGCCCAAGTACTGCCCTCCTTGTCTATTGCTGCCTTGCCAGAAGTGGGCGCTGGACAAACATGGGCTGAGTTCTCATAGCCTCACATCTCATAGCGATGGTGAAGTCCAGAAAATCCCTTTAGAGGCAGCAGATCTCTTCTCTTTTCCAACTGTCAGTGGCTCAACACCACCAAACCATCAGCCAATAAATCTATGAGGCCAGAGTCGAAGCTGAGAGGTAGGCTGATAGGAGGAGTAATTGATGCTCTGCACAAAACTGTAGTGGGGTTCTTTGTGTGTGTGTGTGTGTGTGTGTGTGTGTGTGTGTGTGTGTGTGTGTGTGTGTGTGCGAGGGAGAGAAAAGTATAGGAAGTGAGAAAGTGAAGAGAGAAAGAGGGAGGGACAGACAGAGTAGAAGAGAGAGAGGGCCCGTCCTTGTGGAGTCACAGTGACCCCACTACAATAGAAAACCAAGAGAAGTGATTGCATGCAAGGGTGGTTTCCCCAACCTCATTAGCAAAATGATTTCCCAAGGGGTAGAGGTTAAAAGATCAGAATTCAGGCCAGGGTGTCTGTTAGGGTTTAGGTAACACATGCAATTATGATGGCTACTGTAAGGGTTAAGGCTTTGAAAGTGAATGTATATGAATATGATCCATTTGTGTGCCTGTAAGAGTGTGTGAGTCTCTCTTCCTATTGACCTCAGTATGTGATTTGCTCTCAGAACAGATGCTCCTGGGAAACTTTGGCTGCGTGTATAGGTCATTACTTGCTGTGTCTTTTATTAAGTGCGTCCCTCAGTCTGTTTCCGTCCTCTGAATGTCCTATACAGCATCTATTGCTAAGTGACAGCATTGGACTGTAAGTTGAGTGCATAAGTGCCACTGAAAACTTACTGCTGTTAGTTCTATACTAAGACTCATTATACTTGGTAATAAGAGAGTTGCAGCAATCTTATGTAGTTCTAATCCCATGGAAATATGTACATTTAAAATTTTAAATTCCATAACAAATGACCAACCCCACTTTCGTGAGAACTGAGGTCCCCTGCTAAATCAATGTCAGTGAAAGTCATTATAATTTCATCTGCATTTGTTTTTTCTTTTACTTTTTCCATATTACCATATTCATCTTTTCTACAGCAAAGAAACATTGGAACAATAACAATTTCACTAAGTCAGAAAGTTAAAAAATGTTTGGTCTTGACTTAAGCTAAAGTCTTTTTTCCAGTAAATTTCATTGTCATTTGCGAATGTGTTCCTCAAAAAAACAGAGCCTTGCTATGCCCAAGACAAATTTTAGAGTGTATCAACAACAAAACTGATGGTATGACAAGGGAAGAAAGAGGCAGAGACAGCGAGATAAAGAACAAAAAAGAACAAATTCAACTACATTTGGTTTATTACAGCTAGTTTTTCTACCTCAATCTAGTAATGCTAAAGTTATTTCTATTTAGTTAACAACAGTGGCCGCAAAGCTATACAATCTTTACTCATTACCACTGGAGACAAAAAAGACTATAAAGAACCACACTGACTGGTCACACACAACCACAAAGAGCCAGTTTTCAATATTGTGATTTTTTTCAATAAACACAATTAGTAGGTAGAAATCTTTGTACTTTGTCCCAAGGGAGGCTAAGCACCAGGAGTTGGGTTTCCCTGTTGGAGTGGAGTGGACCCTCGAGAATCCTTCACCCTGAAAAACCAGTGGAGAAACACCTCAATAATCACATTTGACTGTAGCTCTAATCCCCAAACATCTGACACAATTGCACCTAACACAGGTAATTAAACTCCAAAAAAGTATGCACACATGCACTTCTTGTGTGTTGCATGCACCCATGAGTTCAGTGAAAGAAATGTCTGTGTATGTTGTTTAATTCTGTATGTAAAAGCAGACTTTTGCTGGATATAGTTAATTATTAATTACTTTTATCATGAGATAAATGTGGAACTGGTATGTTTTTTGTAAAGATATATGACAGATTTTTGTATCTACATTTTGCGGGGAAACTTTTTACTTGCCACAACAAACTGTCACCACGCGAACAAACAGCTAATTCACTTTGTAAGACAGGTGGAGGGTTGAGGAAGATGAGCACTGAGGGCTATCAGAGCTCAACTGATGTCAGCTGGAGTTTAAGGTGGATTACTGGTACGCTTCATGCTCCTTGACAACCAGACGAGTCACAGAGAGGTGAGAACTGAAATGGGAAGACAGACTGACGGACGGGAGAGGAAAGGGAGGAAATGGAGAAAGGAGGAATGTCAAATCTGGTGCATTGGAAGTGATCTTGGCAGGAAACCTAAGTTACCATAGCGACCTGGTGAAAGCTCTGCAGCAACTAAGAGACAAGAGATAGAGAGAGACAGACAGAGAGAAAGAGCGCAGACCTTGAGGTATTGTGTCTCTCACTGTCTTGGTCTTCTGTAGCATATTTTGAATATCACTGTTTACTTAGTGACTGCTTATAAATACAGGACTTTGGCAGGATACAATCGACTCTATCAATACTAATACTTACTAAGGGCATAATTCATGTAGTATTTATCTTAATGATCAGGGTAACTCAGTTTTCTTCTGTTTCTTTCATCTCTTTTATTATTGAAGCCCAGTCAGGTTAATCAAAGCCCTGTTAGGCTCATCAGTGTACAGCTCCACAGTCTGACAAACCCTGGTTGAAAGGATATGAAGCAGAACTACACATCCATTTATCCATCAGTACGGTCTTTGTAATGTGGATGGTAATTGCTAGTCTTTGATGCCCTAGACCGCTGGGACCGCTGACTTTAATAAGCTTATTCACAAGCATGAAGATTCAGATAGGGATTCAACCACAGACAGGGGTATAAATGAGCACACACACACACACACATACCGATGCATGAATCCGCATTGCAAATACATGACAGCTACTGTATAAGAGCACATAGCACTATACAGTCACATCAGCCCACAAGGACACACACACACAAAGGAAAGGTATCAGAGTATATAGGTTTATCTGTCTATGTAACAGGGCTTGCTGGGATTATTCACAGCTTGATATCTCCACAAAGGTGCAACCAAAGATGGACACTTGGCAGGACAAGATTACCAAAGCTACTACTAACTTCCTCATAGTATTCCTCTGTATCTTTTTATCTTTGTCTCAGTTGGCTGGTGGCAGACCAGGGAATATGTTACATTAGTCACTTTGCCTTTTTGTTTATTGGGATATCTCAAAACTTTTAACACCAATTATTTCCCTTACTTCTACTTGTATAAAAAGGGTCCATGGTATGCTGCTTAACCACTAGGCCACCAGGACACACTTTCAGAAAGGTTTTTTTTATTTTATGCATGTACTCATTGCATTCATATTTAATGTTAAAGTAAAAATATTTGTGGTATCAACAAAATGTTCTTAAAGGTTAAGTGTGTAAGTTTCAGTGGCATCTAGTGGTGAGGGTTGCCAATTGCAAAAAAACTATTCACTGAATGCTCTGATCTGATCAAGGTTCCTCTCCTCCCGGTCTTGTTATCATAACGCTGTTAGCAGTAAAGTGTTTTCCACCAGGACAGTAAAAAAGTTTGAGTGTCACAGTTTGACCACTGGACATTTTGAGTGTTCACACACAACACGATATGCGAAAAAACACAGCCCACGATTACTACAGATATATGAACCCAAAGTAAACCCTTTGCTGTGATTTAATTGCAATAAACGGATCAAACTGATGCCAAAATAACTACAATATAATGCCGATTTGTTAGACATGACTGCATGCTTTGTCTTTTAAAATGTTGTTTCTGAATGGAGTTCAGATCGATCAGGGCTATGCTATGCTAACCTGTTCAAAGTTAAGTACAACGATAGCTGGAATAAAGTTACAGACCATGCCATCTGACACTAACAAAACAGTGGAACCGGATGTGCACGGAACTAGCTGTGTGAATATCAAGTTGTAATCCCAAAAACTAAAGTGAAAAGCTAATTAATAAAAGCAGTTAACTCTGAGCTCCTCCCGCGGGAAAACGACGTAGTTGTCAGAGATAATCCAGACCGACTGCGGGTGTTATTTGTCCGAAAGCTGCAGCACTGCTTCCTATAAACTTCCACGTTATTAGCAGATCTCTGCGGCCAGCAGGTTGTCATTACACCGCTCGCCTGGTCCTCTCCAATCAACGCTC